TACTGGCGAGTCGACAGCAGAAACACCTCTCGATGCCGCAAACACACTAGTAGAAGAGTTAAATGCTCCAACAGCACCTCCGCAGCGTCGGTCAACCCAGACTACCCGGCGTTCAGACCGTCTTCGGTTCTCCTCAAGCTCATCCCTTATCCGTCGATCACCTCGGTCGAGACGGGTTCCCGACCGCTTCCTACCCTAGGTTTATGTTCGATATAGACGAAAGCTAGTTCACGAATGCACGAGATCAATGAGTTTCACAGGACCAGATTTGTCGTAGGGCTATGCGCAAAGTGTTTGGCACCAATCCTGAGTACAGTACTGCAAAGAAGCTCTAGAACACGTCGGGAATAGCTTCGGAATATTAACATTCCTGTACCAGTCTCGATACTTCAATTTAATGTCGTTAGATACGGTACCTTGTCTCGTAACTGACGGATCTGGTACAGTAATGGTCTTCCTATAGTGAACATGGTCATCAGCTAGAAGTGGCGACTTAGCAGAAGCAAGCCATGTTTAATAGAGAGTACCTTCAATTGATCCTGGGAGGCTTAGAGTTTCTAAAAATACCCGGGGGCTCTTTCTTCCACTGCTGCAACTAAGAATCCAAAGTGTTTAACCGGAGTTGAGTCCACAATGCTGAAGACCAGCTGCCCACTAGCACGTGACCATCAGTGTCTGAACTAGACCTCGCCATATTGCTTTTTCGGGTACCCCATGGGTACCCGCTAGCCCGCCAAGAACCCATGAGCCCGTATATTACGGAGTAACAGACGTAATACAGATAGTAACTCATATAAAGATATGTAATATGGTATATATTACGTGTATTCAAATTTCTTGGCGGGTTTTGGGTCAAGGGTCGAAACCCAACCTCCGGAAACTGTCTTTTATCGTGAACGCGATACTTTCTGCACGGGAATAATGAAACAACTTGATCAGATTGGTTAGTTGATTATTTTTCGATTCTTAATATTGGCGCTGATAGTCCCTACAGAGTCAGACTACGATTTGGATCTGGATCTTGAATCATTTTTGAGACAATTTCCGACGCCGCCGCCTTACCTCGCAGAAAACTGTGGGAGTTTGTGCTCACACCAACCCCTCAAGAGATGGTTAGAGTATACTCAGCATGGGCATAAGAGGACTCCTGCCGTTGAATGTCATGTACAAACAAACAAACAATTCATTAACGCCCGGCGGCTGAGCCGAAAGGGCAACTATCACTGATCTACTGTACATGTCCATCTGTGTATGCTGTGTCTCCTGAAAGCCCATACATAAAACCTTATAACACGTGACATTTCCAGAAAGCAGTATCGCAGCGAGTTTCTCGTGGGTTAGTAAGTGGGTTAGTAGACTGGCTTGAAGGCGTTTCTCCAAGTGTTCTTCGGCAGTTGAAGCGCGTCTACCGTTTGTAGCACGAGGTGGTGGGTGTAGGGTCGGCAGAATGGGGTGGGGAGTTCTGTTCGTTGATATGTTCAAGTGGCCTCGAGTCGGCCCGTCGCAATGGCGAAACGTATGGAGGCCCGTACTGCCTCTAGGTTTGGCGTCCACTTCTGATCATCAGAAGGCTGTTTCCTCCCAGGAAGAAGGATATGTTTCCTCGGTAAGTCTGGGTGCATTGTAACATTTCCGTCCGGTGCGCCGTCCACTTCCGACATCGGAAGAGGAAGTGCTCCACGGTCTCTCTTGCTTGTCCGCAATCGCATTCATCCGTCTCTGCTACATTAATGTGATTGAGATATCCATTAAGTCTAGCCATGCTGGTTCGGAGTTGGGCCAGTACGGTCGCTTCTTTCCACGTCAGGCGGTCATATAACTGCCGGGTGTGTTTGCCTGGCAGTGCGGCATCTACTCGTTTTGCGTGTCTTCCTATGTTCTCTGGCAGCTCATTGCTGGGGACTGCTTGGGACCGTGCGATATTCAATGTTGTCGACTTCATCCTCGGAACGCGTTCTTGTGGGAGAGCATCTTCTTGTGTTGCAGTTCTGGCCTGTTCTTTAGCCAGACCTAACAGCTTGTTGTCTTCGGTAGTAGGGATCCAGTGGAATTTGATGCTGTTTCCATTCCTCCGCATCCTGCTCATGAGTTTGTACATCTGGCAAACAAACTCCTGGCCAGACTGTCGTCGAGGGTTCCTTAGCGTGAGCGCCGCCGCCTTGTTGCTTGTGAGCAACGTAATCTTGTAGTCTTTGATTCCCACTACTATTTTCAACACATGTGCCATGGCTGCCAGCTCCGCAGAGAACGGGTTTTGCTCTGCTCTCGCGCCCAATGTGATGGAAAAGGTTTTGAACTTCAATTTCCGATTTCGAGGAGGTTGTTTCTCGATTGCGACTCCAAATCCTACCAGCTCGTTCCGTGCCGAGCTGCTGACCGCGATCTGCATCAGTCCGCCCGCTTCAGTCTGAGGCTCATCTGGTCCATCAACATTGATCTGCACGCGTTCATCCCATGGGGCCAACGTGAACGGGTTGATCGTTTCCAGTGTCTCCAGGTCGACGTGCTTAAGCGCGTCCGCTACGTGGTACAGTGGCGAGCGATGGTATCGTCTGAACTTTCTGATCCGGTCTGTACCCCTGCGGAGAGGGTTAGTTTCAGGCAGCGTATGCATATCCGTCCACATCTTCACGGCCCGTCTCCAGAATCGGTGTCGTGCGGTGGCAATGTGGGCCTCTGCCTCCGCTACACTGGTCGCGACCGTGAGGAACGTCCCCACAATGGCTTGTGCTCCAACTCTTTGGACTCGATTGATCGGCCCCATGGCCTTGTCCCTACACGCGTGCATCCGGACATTGGAGGCGTAGTCTACAACCGGCGCCACCGTTGATGTAAATAACTGCCGCGCTGTTGCTGGGGAGAGGCCCCGAAGTCGCCGAAGCTCCATCGCTGCCTCCAGGCCCTTGGATGCGGCCCTCGCAATATGTTCCTCGTATATGTCATGTATGTACCCCGGGAGAATAGACTTGACCATGCCAGAAGCTGTTTCCCGATAGCGGTCCGGGCTGATATGGGTACCATCAAGTCGTTTAGTTAAATTGCGCTGGCTTGGGTCCATTAATCAATCAAAGTTCAATTAACCTGACCGCTCAATGGGTTTGGTCGTTGATTGAAACCACAATCGCAGTATTCATAGCTCTAACCAGACGGGTTATCTTCTGTCAAAGAAGTTTCTCAAAGTTTTTCTCCAAGAACAGCCGACAAAAGGCGCTAAGGTCCAAAACATGGTCTTCCTCCGTGTCTTTTACACCTCTCGAGTGTTGACTGTAGCACGCCACTCTATATAGTACTATAGTATAAGCAGATCTTCCTTCTTCCCATTCAGATGGCTAGAGCAGCCTAAGATTATCAGACCATGGCTGATCTCAGCACAACAGAGGGGAAGGAACTGTAGTTGAACCTTGTTGCATACTATCTAAATATCCAGGTGTTGGAGCGTACTGTGAGTTGTTTTCCCATATTGCAGGATCTTCGGGCTGGGAGATGAAACCGTCATGATATGGGCTCTGCGTCATCTCTACACGACGGCGGTCCTGAGTCTATGGCTTCCCTAGTTACCGGATTTCCCTAGGACTTGGGAACGAATGAGAATCGCAGTGGATAGCAGAAGCAAAGCTATAGTGAAACAAGTCGCGTACTAGGATAAGTCATCTATGGTACAGCAATATTCGAAATTGGCTTCCATGTTTAGAAGGCCAGTGGAACGGTATCGTAATATGAACTAGTGCATTCTAGGTGGGTCCCTGGGAGATAGAGAGCGCGAGAATGGAGTTAAAACTGATTCTGAATATCACTGTAGCACAACCCGAGGACTAATAAAAGAGACCCAGTTTCCCTTACTCGCATAATATTCCACAAGTCCTAGTAGCGCGATAAATCCTCTCTCGAAGCTCTTTACTGACTCCAATGTTCCCATTGTTGTGTATTCGCGATCAGGTCAATGCAAACATCTTTGAGAATTGGAAAGGGGCCATCGAGGAATTGAAGCTCACACGTAGGACAATCTTGGGATGTAAGTGATCACACTATACCTGTGCTGCGTCGATCGCTTCTAGAATGATCCTTGCAATGTCGATTTCTTTCCACGAGGCTGCGACAACATCGAATATCCATGGTTGTGCTTGTTTCATGGCTTCCAGAGAAAAAATGTCTTCCTCCTCTACATCTGATGCAGGATCAATAAAAGTGAAATTTTTCCATCGTCGCTGAAGCAATGAGCGTCGATATCTGGTAATCATCCTGCTCTTGGTGACAACCTTGCTCTGAGTGAACGATCCTTTCAAAGCAGCTTCCGGCGAGTAAACCTTCCGTGCGTATACTTTGATTTCTTTGTTTCTCTTCAACTCGTGAAAAAGTTTCCGGGGTTTACTTCTCTCTGCCACAATGAAGGACAGATAAGGTCGTTGCCAGTTTTGGTAAAAGCGACCTCCATCTCCACTCGTGCGTTCACGTAAGTATGGTTGACTGCTCCATGTAAAGATTCTTCGTTCATGTAGCTTCAACAACGAGGGAACAAGGTTGCGTGTTTCTGTCTCTATGGGACCGTAATGATATGGAGTCGATGGGATTTTACCTCGAAGAAACTCCTTATTCAATTCGAGTAGGTCCGTAAAAGTACCACAGGTGGTCCACTCGGCCATAATGAATATTGTTTTCAGCTAACGGGAAGTAGCCGCAGTAGTCTGTATTTATATTACTTCAATTCATGCTACTTCAAACTGTTTTGTGTCACCCATACCAAAATCGGACCGGGAAAGGTGTCACCCACTCTAATTTGAGGGATAGGATCACTCTACTTTGACGGGCGAAGAGGATGAATAGGTTTGCTCTGGGCCTTTGTAGAAGCTCAATCCGCATATATCGCACCACGCCTTGGATAGGTTCTAGTTTAATTAACAGATACAATGGAAGGTCAGTCTAATGTGCCGGAGCTCTCACCGTGGGAAGGGAATTGCCATCGAGAAAATAATATTGCAGCCGAAGCGGTTGATCCCGGGTGTCTTGACCGTTGCACGTCAAGAAAAGCTGACACCTCGTTCCAACAAAAGCCCTGAGTCTACTTAACCGCTCTTCTTAACCACTCGTCTTAGCCGCCCTTCTTAACCGCTCTTCCTAAATCGCTGTTCTTAACCGCTGTTCTTAACCGCTGTTCTTAACCGCTCTTAACGGCTCTTATTGACCACGCTTCTTGGCCACCCTTCTTAACAAACCCCCCCCCCACCATGCCCCCACCCTACTAGTAACACACCACCCACGCCCCCTTCTCTTACTACACCATACGCAGTACTTTAC